TGCATCTACAGGAGTCAAGCCTGATCCTGGTTGGTCACGACCACGTGGCCGCCCCCGAAATACCTGAGTGCGACAGCTTGAGGCTGACCATGCTCTGTCAGCCCCTGCCCTGTGGCTCATCTCGACTGATCGGTTGGCATGGGTGGCTCAGCGTCCCATAGCTGGATTTGGAGACTGATGATGATGATGATATATCTGCAGAACTAATGGGACTACATGTGGTTTGGTTTGGTTGTAGCTTGGTGTTTACCTGTGAGAATTTGATCACATATTATAAGCCACCATTATTATACACAGGTCTACACATCCTTCCTCAATGGAACTTACAATGTATACTTGAAACTTTACATGTCACATGTCACAAAAACATTGCCAAAACAGCCTTGTGTTTGTCCACAAACATAAGTCTCGTTGTTTATGAAATTTTGGTGCAAATTATTTTTAAATTTTGTTGCGGATTAGTGAAATGGCCCGCTGACTAGACAAGAGTCTTGTTCACTAGTCCGGCTAGCTAGTGAACCCAGGGCGAACCATGGACTACCCAACGCACAAATTTGTTTTAATGTGGCGATCCGACTCGAAACAAGACTGAAATGCCACCTTGAGACAAGTCTATTGTTTACTGTTTACAGTGTCTCCAACGCTGCAACCACATTACTGCGACCATGCCATGCATACACTTAAGTAAAATAGGCACATTCTGTAGATGATTCAACTCTATACAAAATATCAAACATAATTAATATTTGTGTATAATCATGGTCATTATACTTGAATATTTCTGTCATAATAATAACAAAACAATGTTTGTAAATTGTTGTATTAAGCCGAGTGAAGGCCCAGTGCTTTAACCTTACTCGACATGCTTCGGTGTACTCCATGGAGCCGTCCTCTCTCTCACTGGATTTGACTTTGTACGGAAGTAGGGTTCACTTTCTCTGCAAATCTCACTTATTTTGCATAGTTTATTCACAGAAATACCTTATTTTGGGCTAACCATGTTGTGAATGCAGGTTCGTAGAACATGTGGACCGAGTGTAGGCTCAAACCAAAATCAGAATCTGTCAATTTGGAGTTTTCTGTGTAGCATTTTTGGGAAACTTCTGTGTGGAAAGTTTGTGGAGTGACTTTTATATGAGGCATGTATACGGCTGTTTCATGTATGGTCCCGACGACTATTTATGTATTCGGTCTGCATATTGTTTACACAGGTTGACTCTATACGTGGAGAGAGCAGCTGTGCACAGTGCTCATACTCATAAATAGCTCATAACCTTTACTATACTACACTATACTTTTTTGGGGGTATATTTGGGGTATACATATCTGGGCTATTGCTGGACGTGTTGATACTTGTTAAAATCATCGTCAAATATTGAAACCTCGTTATCTCACTGTCATATTTTTGTAAGCTGATGTGAAATGCATGTATTATAGTCCACCATCGCAGATTTATTGTTGAATATTTGTACTGATACTAGTGATACAGTGCTTGCACATAAAACATTTTCACTGTGATCAGGTGATGGCTGAGCATATTCTTGACATACTACACATATTGCCAAACATTCTAGATATTTTTGTCTCTGGTGGCCCATCACTGGTTTCTTTTGGCATTAGCTGTGGTATAGGCTTTTTATTGTAGCCTCTGTGTCTTAGCATAGTAGCACTGTCAATATCCTTTATTTTGTTTGACGTCACAGATAAACCACTTCTGTATTTTACACAAACTTAGGATATTTTAACTGACTGATTTCTAGAGAGTATAAATTTCTCTCACTGATTGTCTTCAATTCACTCAAATAAGATTATAATTTATTAAATCATTAGAAAAATCTTGACCATAAACATTGGCTTCAATTCGTACTCATTTCCGATTGTTTTTCCTCTTTAATTGCCAGAGAGATCTATTCTTAATTAATCACTAAGCGGATTTCCCACATTAGGGCAGCACTACCCTACACGTACCCATGACATTAATAAGGCCAGCATTTTTATTTGTTGGATTACAAACCCGCCGATGCATGATTTTTAATATGTAGAAAAACTGATTGAAAGATTATAATCATTTTTCCCACCCGACACAGTATTTTGAGTAAATCGAAAAACAAACAAATTATAGTGCAGTTATGCTATCAGTGTTGTAGTCGAGTACTTTTCCCCAAGAACCGAGTACTGCCGAGTACAAGTACGAGTACTTGTACCTCCGAGTACAAGAACGGGTCTCCGAGTACGAGTACTTTTACTTCTGAGTACGAGTACGAGTACTTCTGAGTACGAGTACGAGTACTTGCATTTCTGAATACGGCCATACGGCAAATGGTTCATTGTGCGTAATTGGCCCAGGCCCAGTCAGACTGATATATACAGACCCACTCACGGCTAGCTGGTAAATGTGTTTGTCCGGACTTTTCACAGAAGAAAATCAGGAAATCTCGATTTCTCAACAATCCAATCAACCATTTCAAACTGAATGTATTGATAAAATAAGGCCATGGTAAGTGAAGCTATAACTCTCCCCCCCCCCCCCCCCCCCCCCCCGAGTACTGCTATTTGAGTACGAGTACTTTGTTGCCCGAGTACTTAGACAATCGAGTACAAGTACGAGTACTCCAAAAAAAGTACTCGAGTAGTACTTGAGTACGAGTACCGAGTACGAGTACTACAACACTGTATGCTATTATAGTGACACCCCCTAACATGGCTCACTTTGACATTTCCCTAAACTTTCCCAAGGCGGTATAGCCAAATCTCTTGTTGACTCTCGTTGACAAGCTTTAAATTCATTCAGTTAGATACTGATACAATTACCTTTACAATGCTTAAAGAGGTTGAAAAAAACTTTAGTCCTCCACACATCCTATCACTCGCCATCACATAATTACAACAAACTCTTCTGACAATAGAGGGCGCTATGACTGTCTTCAGCCATGAATTTGGCACTGACATGTATATTACTCTGACGTCATGACGCTATCAGGTGTCAAATTACAAGCAATATTTTTCGTTGAAAAAATGATGATCTTCTTTCACCTATAGCTCCTGAACAAAACGATCAATCATGTTCCAACCTTGTAATCAGATTACCAACCTCTGTAATCAACCTTGTAATTGGTAATCGCTTGACCTCACAGTTACTTCTGGGTCAACCGGCAGGTCAAAGTTAGGTAAATTTAAAATACAGACAGAGGCCTTAAAATCAAAACAAACCGAATTTATGCCAAATGATTTACGGGGTTATGATAAAACCTTGTATGAGCTTGAACCCCCATCTGAAGATGTTTTTAAAAATCTGACGTCATCATCACGTCATTATGACGTTATCAGATATCAAATTACAAGCAATTTAAGGGCCAAATTTGTGAAAATGGTTTAAGCTGTATCTTTAGAACTAAATAGAGTATCGTGTTCGTTTTTGCGTGCAGTTGTAAATGATGCCTCAGGCAAAAATCCTTATTCCCTGGGCACAAAACCGCTTGACCTTCACCTCAGCTGTTACCGGAAGTGCAATAAAAATTGACTATAAATCGAAAGCAGAAGCTCTTTACTATTAGCAAATAAATTATGGAAGTGTTTAGAACGGAATAAAGGTCACAAAAACAACATTATGTCGTCATCATTTGAAAGGGTGCGTTCTAGTGGTACATCAAACATGATTTCCTATTTTAAAATTTACAAACCATCCATCTAAATTTAACAACATTGACCCTTATTATTTTTTTATCAACTACGTATAACTTTGCAAGGTTTAAAAATGATGATGTCATCAGACCGAAAGTTACTGTAGCGAGAATTTGAAAATGATCATTTTTTTAATCCTATCATTTGATCCCTGTCTTTAATATGACTTTCTTCGTTGCTAAAATAATGATATCCGATATATAACTTGTACGTGTACATAAAATGTATACTGAAATTTGGTACATTTTTGATTTTAAACAAAATCATTGGTTTTACTGGAAAGGTTAAATTTTTCGTGATCCTATTCTGACATTAAATTATTCATACGTAACTTAACTGGGCTGTTTCTAATGACATAGTTGTCAGCCCGACCACTGTGCGTTTGTAACTCAACAAATGCCTTGACCTCGAGTTTTGGTGTTTTTTTCCGTTGTTCCTTGAAGTGAAATTCATCATGACACAGTCCTGTCACAGTCCTGACACAGTCCTGACAAATCTCTTAAGTACAAAACCTTGTGGGATATCATTTTTGAGGATCTTGTGGTGTATTTTTTTCCTAGGGCTCATTCTAGGTCAGTGAAGGAAATGAAGGACATTTTCTTTGTGGGGTACAAATTCTACAAAATTTCTAAATTTCTAATGTGAAAAAAATCTGTTGATTAGGTTTTGAAATACAGGAAGAACAACTGTCCTCGGACATAAGTGCAAAAAAAAAAAAAAAAAAAACCCTGGGCCCAATTGAAAGCTGAAGATTATGATGCTGCATGCACGGCTCATGCTCGTATATGCTGCATGCATATATCCACAGTCTTCAGTTTTCCTGCTGCTACATACAGACTACATATGAATTGAGAATTTCATGGTACAGACTACCATAAGGGCAGTGCACTGTAGACAACTGTCCCATTTGTATCATGCCAGATACAAATTTATAGCTAGGTAGCAATTTCGAACATCCACGATGTAAATTCTCAGCTTGAGCATCGTTATCTACAGTACGGTACATTTTTAATTTTTAATACGTGATGATGCTAATTTTTAAACTGTGTTGTACCATGAGCAAATCACCTTATTTTCTGTTGACGTCAGACACCAGTAGAAACATTAAATCTGAAAATTGCACCAGAGTAAAATTTCCTTCTTAACAAAAGGGAATGCTTAGAGCCTGTAAAAGAGCCTCGTTTAGAGCCTGGTAAACCTGTTGCTATAGTAAGGCTGTTGCAGATAAATTTTTATCCCAAAGTGAATTGCTTTGGTTTTGCATCCATACATTTTTACAATGCACAAATTCAAAAAGTGAAATTCAAATGCATATTTACCCTGAATCCATCCAGTGTGTAAAGCTTGTTGAAACTGGCATCAATAAACTCCAAGTGTGGCTATCAAATAATGAAGAAAAATGGAATGGTTATAAACATTTTATTTGTAATGTCAACCACCCTGGTTCTGCTGAACTGGAAGCTCATAAAATCCCTCCATCCCTCCCCCTCCCCCTCTCCACAATTGTGTGGAAGGAATCTACTAGTGAGCGCCGACCCATAGAGCTACCAATACTGCATATTTCCCTAGAGGGTGCACTTCATTTGCTTAAAGTTCACACAATAGCCTATCCACAATGCCCCAGGGTGTGTGTCACACTCCCCTAGTCAGTTTTATTGGCAAATTCATGGTCTTATCAGCAAAAGAGAAAATGAAGAATGGAGAAGGAAGGGGGCAGGAAGAGGGAAAGGAAGACAAAATGGAGAATGTTAAAAATAATAACCACTGCTCAAAACCTCATGACGCTAAAATCTGGTTCTGCAACCCATGGCAAAAGATTGTACATTCTGTCATGTCAGTATGAGCTGCCGTGCAAGGTCTCTTCATATACAGCAGTTGCATGAAGTAGTGTAGGGGTACACCAGAAAGGGAAGGCGCAGTTGGGTCGAAGGCTACACACAGTGACACATGGACAGCGGTCAAACTGTTGTTGGGCAAGCAACACTAACTGTTTAATTAGTTCAAATCAAGAAAATAATACTTGGATGGATCATTACAGGTGAGATTGCAGGCGAGATTACAGGTGAGATTACAAGCAGGAGGGCTTTTGATACAATCATGAATATGTACAGTTCAACGGTAATGCCTGTGAACCTGTGGTCCTGCAAAACAAAGGAATATAAACCGCTTATGAGTTTAACTCAAACGTACCTACTGCAACGAGGCGAGGCACACGTGCCACGTATGCACAAATGTAATATGTTCAATAACGATAGTTTTTAACAGATTAGACCGATAACTTTATGCCCAAATCATGCCAATTTAACAGTCTAAGAGTTAAAACACTATATCATGCATGTCTTTATATATCCATAAAGGGCTGAGTTTTTTTTATGGCTTGCAACAACGAAAACGCGAAAACGGGTCTAAAATACACAACTTTTCAATATGACAGGGTAAAATTTTGACGATACATTTTTGGAGTTCTCACTGAAAAATGAAATGCATTGATAGTAATCAACATAATTAATCATTCATACATTTGTGAGGGAAATTAGAAATAGAGTTAAAGGGATCATTTTGGGCAGAAATTATCAACTGCACTCATTTTGTGTGACGGTTCGTCAGCAAATTTCATGATGGCACCCTCCCCCCCCCCCCAAACTATTAAAAATGGCCTAGTGACGCCCATGAACATATTATATTAGCTTAAACACGACGCAAACAATTGAAAAGGACAGGTGTGTTTGCTACCACCAAACGTCTCAAAAGTCTCCCATTGTAAATAAATGTTTTCCACTTATATAAAGGTACCGGTACTCACATGTCTTATAATTGTAATCACATCAGACTGAGGAGGACAGTCTGACTTTGTAGCAATGTCCCCGATAATGCAGTTTGCACCACCCATTGAAGAAAAACATGGCTCATATCTTCATTCATAGAAATGCATATTAGCCACTGGCTATGGTGTAGAAAGTCCGTACAAAAGTTGTCTTTGCCTATGCAGAGTCTACTTTAAAATGAGCACCATTTATTTCTGCTGATACCATAACAATTGTCAGCCATCCTACTATTTTGGATGAAAACCCCTGGCTGAAAGGGTTTCCACAGGATTAAAAGAGCCGGATAAATCTTTTCGCATCTAAGCAGATGTATACACTGAAAAAAATGTAATAAACAAAACAACCAAAAATAACAAACAAACACCCCAACAACCCAAGTCCGCGGGAACGGGGGGTCCTGTGGGTGCTGCAGCACCCCCAACTTTTTGGATTGGGGTGCTGGAATATGCTTCAGTACCCCCTACTCCCGGGTAAAATGTGTTCCAGTCAGCAGTGTTCTACGACGTTGAAATTGCGCCGCTGCGCTATACAAATTATGCTTGCTCTACAAATATCTCCTTCGTTTTGTTCGTTTCTAGTTTTGCTGCAGCTAAGCGCGGTATTTCGAAAGTCTAGCACAAACGGAGTAAAATATCCAGAAGAGGTATTTTCTAACTCTGCAGGCAGTACAGAGTCTAATGTATCTAAAATCATGACATGTCTATGATATTTCCGCCATGATGAAGCTTTGACCCGAAAGCAATAACCTCGGCCATGACAATGGTGGCAAAGTTGATTATGCTTGCCAGGGTATTTTTCATTCGATCTTTCAATAGGGGCAAATGTCCATACCTTTTCCCTGAAGGTTTTCTTTTCATTTTAAAGTTTCATTGACGTTGCTAGCATTCTGTACTCAACATTAACAATAAAAGAAGGCCATTTCCAATGATGTGTCTAAAGATGCATTCTTGGCAGTTTTCATTACCGTAATTTTCGGAATATAAGCCGCGCGGCGTATAAGCCGCAGCATGCAAAAACCTGCAAATTAAGATTTTAAGTTGGCGTATAAGCCGCACCGGACTATAAGCCGCACCGGCGTATAAGCCGCACCGACCGCAGCGATTTCAATGTTGTAAGACCTCCAAATTCTAGTCAAAATGCTCTGATCCATTTCCATTTACACTACAAAAGCTACAAAAAGGGCCACAAAAGTTATATAAAATCATTTACAGTCGATATGTCTTACAAACAAATATGGAAATTGATGATGAGAAATAAACACCGGGAATTTCTGTCAGCTGGCCCCTCCGGTTCCCGGCCTAAAAATTAGTGCACGGGCCCGGCAGCCTGCACCGGCGAATGACAGCATTTTCCCGCAGCACTTAATTGAGAGGGTATGCAACCCAACCATGTGTCGTCTGACTGGAGCGCTACAAATCTTGCTTTATGGCAACAGATGTTGATTTGTTTCGTCCTAAGAATAAAAAGGTCCGTTTTTACAACAAAACTTATCAAATTGTTGTGATTACTACCAAGTAGTAACGTCAAAATCTCAAGTTTCAATCGTAACTTCCTTCAAAAACAGTCAACATGATGCTGACATTTTTATGGACGAATCCATTACTTTCGGGAGGGGTGATTTAGCCCCTGTTTTGAGTTTAACATCGTTTTCTTGAATACATTTCAAGAAAAAAATTATATTGTGACGTTAAACAACTGATTATCGAATAAAGAAATGTTTTGAACACTATAAAAAGTATAAGTTGTCATTTTTCTCTTTTTAAACAGCTAAAATATTGGTAATTATTGTTCTCAAGAGAGTACACCCCTTTATTACCACGAATGGTGTGGTCCATGGGGAATGCATGCAGCTTGGCATGCAGCAGTATCACGTACAGCTGGTTGTGGAAGACAGCTTTCACTCACGCATGGTTGGCCGGCCTGCTGTACTTTTTACCGCTCGGTATATTTTCATGGGACGTGCTTTCGGTTTGTTAATGACTTTCTTAATTGATAATTCATTTCAGCAAAAGATCTTTTCTTATACCAGTACATTAAATACACATTTGAATCTCATTTTTATTCTTCAAGGCCTGGTGTATAAGCCACCCTGCGTATAAGCCGCAGTAAACATTTTCATGAGCAAATTCAACGTATAAGCTTATATTCGAAAATTACGGTAGTAGTTCATTTTTAATTCAGCAAAGCACGCGCAAGTGTTGACACGACACACACGCGCGCGGTTGCTATGGCTCGTTTGTTCAGTGTGCGACATCGCGTAGCTGCAATCGTGAGAACGTGTCTTGGACGCTGAATTCAGGCCCAATTCAATACATGACTCAGCAAATTTTGATTTGAAATCAAGATCCTAGAATGCTGTTTTTCTCGGAATGTGCAGCATACACTGAGCTGAAAACTTCATCAAGTTAGTTGTTCACCACCCTTCTTTAGATTTTGATCACTTTTGTTGCTTCAAACCAACATAATGCACACATTACAAAAGATGGACGCTATACCTTTAAGCGTAATTCTCTTTCGCTGAGTGAATTTTTTGTGAAAATGAAGTAAATGTTTATAAGATGCTGAGAGCGCGAATAAAATGGCAGTCAAAATGTAAAGGACGCATCCTCTGTGCTGTAGATCCATGCAAAGGGAATGGGTTTAATACTCCCTACTACTCTGCTGTAAATAGAAAGTTCGGGGGCAGCCACCCCTTTCAAGTGTGACCCTTTTACCAATTTACCTGTACAACAAGCTGAAGTATGGAGCCTTCAAATCTTGGTGCCTCCAGATCTACATTCTTGAGTTCGAACAGACTGAGTTCCATATGATTTTACATAAAAAAGATGTACCTTAGCAGACAGGTCTTTTGAGATGTTTTCCTCACAGCTGGACATATGTTACAAAGGATAATTAGATACTCTAATCTGTTTTGGTAGTTGACATTAGGCGGCAGTTGTTGTGCAGCATTTGAACTACGGAAATCGGCTAAAGGGTGGAGCATGGGCAACACCATATTGAATAATTATGCTCCAGAGTATTGTGACTGAGAATCTGCGTAGGACTCACTCTCTCTTCTTCCACATATGACATCATCTATCCTCGGCTCCTGCCCAGCCCTTGATGCTGACGTCCAGTTTCATCACAGGCAGTGGCTGCTGGACTCTTACACTTGACTGGGGAAGTTGATGGTTAGGTGCAACAGTGAGCGAGTAAGTGAGCAATGTCCGTTAAAAGGGACCACTCTCCTGGGTATTTCAGCAAAAGATCAGCTGGAAAACATTCATTTTTTTAATCTTTTTTTGTTACCTCATATAATATAACAGGCTCAGTTTCAATAGGAATTACCTATTCCTTTTGAAAAGGAGCCTGTTACATTATGTGAGGTCTCTTAAAGCTACAGTCCATCATTTGTAATTTGTGCATTTTGTTCGTTTGAAGCAGCAAAAGAGTTCAAAATCTAATGAAGGATACTGAGCAACTAACCTGATGAAGTTTCAGCTAAGCTTCAGCTGTACATTCCGAGATAAACAGCATTCTAAGATCTCAATTTCAAATCAAAAGTTACTGAATCATGTTTTGAATTGTTTTGAATTGCAGCTTTACGCGGCGTCGCGCACTGATCCGACGAATTATAACAACCGCGCGCGCGTGTGCGTCGTTCCAATACTTGTGCGCGCTGCGCTGAATAACAAAACGAACTACTAATTTAATTTTCCTACGGTGCTTCTTAAGAATCACCGTTGGAAATGCCTTCTTTCGTTGATTACTTCAAAATGACAGCTTCCCAGAAAGAATAATTTCACAGGGAGTTTAGTTCCCTTACTATCTTTCAACCAAGTTTGTTTTTCAACAGTAATTACGCCAGTTACTTTTCAGATGGCTGCAAATGATGGACTATAGCTTTATTAAATGTATTGTAAACTTAAAATCCTACCAGATACGCCAGATCCTCCAGCTTTGACAACTCATTGAAACTGATGATCAACTTCTGCAGGGATGTAAGTGACGATATGCATCTCAGTTTAGTTAATCCATTGCCATGGAGATTAAGCACCGAGACTAAGGTGAGTGAAGTTACACCACTAATTTGCAGAATAACATCTTCAGATAGCGAAACAAGCCTAATAAGGAAAAAGTATAACAAAAACTGCAATTAGGATGGAGATAAACATAATCAAAATTGTTGTTAAATTTAAGAAAAGAACAGCGTGTTTAACATTTTGTTAAGTGAATTTTGAAAGGATTAGGTTGAGATTTTTAATGTGTGCTTGTAAGTTTACACCTACGGGTACATGATTTTAGAGTTGCGATTTTTAAGAAACATAGATACTGAAATGTGCAAATTTTCCATTACAACTTAAACATATCTAGCAAATTTTTGTGAGGGATTTCAATTATTGACCTTAATTAACATTATCATCATACATTTGTCAAAAAAAAATTAGTTTTTTATGTTATTTCATCGGCCTAGAACGGCCACGTGTCTGGTCTATAAAAACACATGTCATTTTAACATGGAGACCAGTGATGTTGCATGCGTTCATTGTGCGCACTGTGTGAATGGAACCTGTCAGCATGCTAGCTTCACGCAATCAGAACTGCAACGTCAACTGCTCAGACTCATGTCTAGCACAGCAGGATATCAAAGGTTACATCTCAGTGATTTAATTCCTTTCTCACACAGTTATAAGATGGAATTTGTTTGCGTCAGGGTGATGAAAATCAAATTTGGTTTTGCCCCTCACCTACGTATGAACACTGTATACTCAGTGTGCTATCTCCCTAGTGAAAGTTGGAAAAAATCACTCGGTTGGGACTCGAACCCACCACCTCCTGCTTTCTAGTGCAGATGTCTTACCACTCGACCACCGAGCTAACGGGATCGGTTGGCTGGTTCGAATCTGATGTACATAGCAGCGGGTACTGCATTACTTATTAAACTCCACTTAAACTCCACCTGTGACATCACCCTAGCGCTTCATTATTTGGTACGAATGGAGTGTTTGAGGGGATACCTCTCCATTCTTTTGGAAGGTTATTAAGCCTTCATCACCTTATTCCTACAAAATAATGGAGCGGGAAATAAAGTAACACCAAAAGTTACACAAGTACTTTTGCAAAGTTGCAACTTTACTACACCGTTTCTAAAATGAACTCATATGCATTTTTTTTTATATTATGCATTTTCGTACAATGCTTACATAAGTCAAAACCATTTTTTTCTTATACAGAATGCTACATCATTTCTTAAATGGATTTATGCATCATTCGCATGATTTTGTTTCTAATGCTACACTATTTCTCAAATAGAATTGTATGCATTTGTTTATACAATTTCGTACAGTGTTTGGGTGAAAGTTAAGAACCGTTTTTTTTCCTGATACCGAATGTTTGCCCATGGTTATACATGTAAACAATATAAATGTTTCAACAATATAAATGTTTCACAGTTAAAGCAAAGTTTTTTACAAGGTTTGCGGTACAAATAATATCGGGGTTTCAATGCCTATCACGGCAGTCCTAGAAATGTTTGATTGTCAAGAACTCAACATCCTGAAGAAATGGGTACGTCCTTTCCATGTTGTCCAAGAAAAGTTGTAGGGCAATCACAAGTTCGCAAAATGTAAATCTGGCCTAGACAATTTTTGTTGCCGTTTTGTTTTAAAAATGCACCAAAATCTTGCAATTTTTAGTGGTTTTAGTTGGTCCTTGCTTGTCCAATGATGGGTAGTTTGACTGGAGACTGCCCGATACAGAGTGAGTAAAAAAAAGCGGAACTCAAACCCCCAAAAATATATTTTATATTTAAACAAATATGTAGCACCAACAATAATAATGACTGGAAAGCCAATTTCATAAGCTAATTTTAGATGAAAAAAAATTACTGAAACTGCTCAATCCGTTCAAAGGATATCACCATTTAAATGCAATAACCCTAAAACCTGTCTCGTCAAAAAAAAAAGCAATTTATTGTGCATTTTGACTGTTTGGAACAACAAAGAAAATGACACAGAATACTTGTTTCAACAACTGTCACCAACTGTAGTACACAATATCTTTATTAACAACCCTGGTTAGGCAAACAATATGATTTATAAAATCTACTTTTTTTAAAAGACGGGCCTTCAAAAGGACTTTTTAAAATATCGTTTACATTTAAACTGAGATTTTATCACTTTTGATGTTTGAAGACAACTGTGACGACGATTGGTGAAATCGCATTTTTTTGACGAGACAGGTTTTAGGGTCATTGTGTTAAAATAGTGATATTCTTTGAACGGGTTGACCAATTTCAGTAATTTTTGTCATCTAAAAGTAGCTTATGAAATTGGCTTTCCAGTCATTATTGGTTTTGGTGCTACACATTTCTTTAAATATGAAATATATTTTTGGGGGTTTGGGTTCCGATTTTTTGACTCACCCTGTAGTTTTGATCCTCCTTGTGATTTTATCCGCAAGTCTGTAGCCAGAATATGAAGAAAACAAAATCGGAAAATTAGTTTTTGGGGTCAAACAATAAGACGGAAGCATAAGTTCATATTCATGTGTACTTCAATCTTATCAAACTGTAAAAGGGAAAATGCCAGCTTTGACAATTGCAAAGACGACACAGACATTTTCAAATCGAAATAGTTTTCGTGCAAAACAATGTCTGAATAAACTATTCGCTCTTTGCACGCTCCGCCATAAGCATGCAGAGCCTCGATCTGGCAACTTTACACAGTGATTCAGTGATTCCCGTGTATACATGGTAATCACTGAACCCCGACATGGGAATCACTGAACCGGCTATATCTACTGTGTAAAGTTGCCAGATCGAGGCTCTGCATGCTTATGGCGGAAGCGTGCAAAGGGCAAATATCAGACAGCAAGTTAAAGAACAAAGCTTAATGTATCTTACATTATATTCATACTTTTGAGGTTTTAGTGCTCAATATTTCGGTTAGTAAAAAATATAACAAATTTAAATTGTAATTTACTAGCTGTTATTTCTACTGGACAAAATGGTATTTCTTACCTTTATACTCATACATGCAATCTTCATATTCCTTTAGTGCATCAGCATGGTCTTTGATATCTTCCTGGCAAAGTTTTAGGCGATCACCCGATATATCCATGGGGCTAGTATCAGCACGGTATGAGAGACAGTTCCCCGGCACACTATAATTCCACTGTTTCACGCATACGGAATTATCATAACAGTCCTCAATGCCTTGAGACTAAACACGTCGTGTCATCTGCATGCTATCCAAATGAATGAATGTATGGTGCCTGGGTGGCGTTTAGCATTTATACCAAGCACGACCAGATTTCAGCATTGTATTGGTTATGTAAGACTATATGTAAGCATACTTAGTGTTGTAGTACTCGTACTCGGTACTCGTACTCGGACTCGTACTCAGTACTCTCGAGTACTTTTTGTGGAAGTCTCGTACTCGTACTCATACTTGAATGTCAAAGTACTCGTACTCGATATGACGGTACTCGTACCCAAGCAGCAAAGTACTCGTATTCGCACATGTTAAAATGGTACTCGATCATCAAAGTATTCGTACTCGAATAACGGTAATTGATAAAAACAAGATACTCATACTCGAATAGGGGTACTCAATAAAAAAAATGGTATATCATATTACATATTGATCTACAAGGTCCAAATGACAAGAAAATGCAAAAACATTTTGTGCGGACCCTAATTTACGCTTCTGTGATCAACCCCCAGACTAATTGGTCTTTCTGAAGGTCTTTCGTGTTGGATGACTCCATGTTGTGGAATGTGTCGGAAATACGGTCTTATAGGTACTGATACAATTGCTATGGCGCTAAATAACTTACCTGTGCACCAAGCGCAGTATAGTGGATAAGAGGAGCATACACTGTATTTTGTAGTTTTACAGAACTTGCAGTGGGTGACGCAATGGTCTTTTGCACATACATTCACAATGGGAATGCATTTATAGGTATCGGAGGTGATGCTTTATTCATAATACAGTTTTTTTAGCGGAACAGGACAGGTAAGGGACAGAGGGGTGTAAGAGTAGGGAAAAGAAGGGGAAATAGGGGGTCCTTACGTACATTTTTAAAAAAATTTGTTTATTTGAGTGTTTGGTCTACAAAACTTACCTCGGTCTGGGTTTAACTACGGGGTCCAACCTCAATACATCTAGGTCAAAACTTTGCTCGATCGGTTTTCGCTCCACTGCCTGGTTATCACTCACATCAATAAATGGAGAAGGTGGTACCTCCTAATGACAAATATAAATAGGTTACCAGTGTGCACCTAGCAGCATTAGGTGGTTTATTTTCAGGTGTAATATATTTGCCATTTAAAGATCAAACAAGTGATCAGTACAATGCAGAACATGCTATCACTGATGATTGCTTTGAATTTCTTTTCCTTCTTTAATTTATTACTCAGAATATGAAGTCTTCACTCAATTTTCCTCTCAGTCAAATGTTGGCTTAAGTCATGATGGTCTAGTCAAAATTAAGGCTGGCTTAAGCATAAACTGTTCTGTTGCTTAAAGGGAATGTACATCATTGGCTTTTGCTGTAAGTTTCAGAAATGAACTATTTGAGGGGTTAGGATAATAGATCAAATATTGTTACACTGACATGTTTGAGGTTTTTGTTTTTGAAAATGCTGGAAAAACCAAGAATAACAAAAATGTTCAAGTAGTCTGGCTCCCTGACTCCACTAAAGATAAAATGGATAAATTGATAGATGCCAGAAAATTGTAAGATATGGGAACCAGCCTAGCTGGCCTGCAACTGTTCATGAACATGTAACCAACAGCACACAACATTTGGACTGAAATAAATTTAAATTCGGAGCAGCAGTTGAAAAATAGTTAGGTTTTTCCAATGGTGGTCGGCCGACCATCGTTGGAAATTTGTACAAAAATACCACTTTTCTTCAAAATGACTTCACACCAGGTGCCATAATTTTACAGGATGCTTCAGACTGTCATTTACCAACTTCCTAGTAAGGTATTTCGTAAAAATTTGGTAGTTCTGTTTTTCGATGTTTGCAAATGTTGTATTTTCCCTTTAAAAAGGCCTAAAATACCTATGCAAACAAAAGCAAAATATTGTAAGAAATGTTGTTTCCATGTCTGGCTAGATACCTATTTAGTTCAAAGTACAATTGTTTAACAGGGTTTTGAAAAGAAGAATGCACCGGTGTATGTTAAATTGGGCCCCCAAATAGGGAGGGTTGCATGGCGCCCCAGATTCTGGCACGACAAAAAGACCATGGTCTTTTCATCAGTTAATGAATTTCTACGTTAAATTATTTTTTTGCCAGCGATGGGGGGGGGGGGGGGAATTGACCCAATATACATGACCTATAAAGTAATAGCCTTCAAAGTAGCACATGCTTTATTAAGAGCATACATATATTTGTCTTTTCTGGGAAATATTGAGTGACGGTCCCAGTATTGTGGCAAAACCCTGCTTATGATTTTGACAAAAACAAAATGTTAAAATGGTTTGCCGGATGTCATTTTGTTCTGAAGGTATTATGATAAGAGCCTTTTATTCTCAGACTTATAAAATACACACAGCACACAATCATTTTTGTTTGAATGTAATTTGCCACAGTAGGGCTGAGTCAATTCGAATAAATGACTATTCGAATATTCGACCTTCCATTTGATCGAATATTCGTCCATTCCAAATTCCACAAAGGCAGAAATATGCCAAACATGTACATGTAGTTAACGTACATGTACGCATGCACGTCAACATGCCATCATTGCCATGCATGATTTCTTTGCAGGTAAGTTGGGTATATAAAAACAAACAGTAGATCTTAAGTCATCAGTATTTTGATAATTAATAATCACCAGAGGAGCCAGAGTTAACAATTCCTTGTTGCACAGGGGACTTTTAAGCCATGAACCCCAAACACGGCAGGTGGTGTCAGCTGATGTGACTCTCCGATCCTTAACTCGCAAAAAAAGAATAAATTTCATTGGAAGATTCTTGTACTTTCTAGTCGCAGTATTGAGGATAAAAAAATCACTTTTATAGTAATAACCCTCAATTTTGTCACCAATACCTATGATATTTAATGTCTTTAATCAATTAAATATGGGTCTTTGAAGTATTAATGCATATCTAAATTTATGCAAATAATGGGCGTGGGAACAGTTTGGAGACCGGCATACACACGCCCCAGCTTGACACTTTTGCACACAGGGGACGGTATTATAAACCGTGAACCCCAAACACGAGAAGTATTAAAATTGTTGTATTCTGCCGAATGTAGGCCCAGTGCTTAAATCTTGCGGATGTGTTGTTATAAACAGTTGTGAGGTCCTCTCACGTAGTGGCTTGGTCTGGCTGATGTACCATTTAAGAGCCCGCACCGGGCACCAGACTTTGTCGGTAGGGATAGCCGATATTGTACATATTTCTGGTACAAAAATATCCAGAGGTGTAAAACCGATGGATTGGTTTTTAGTCAGGAAGGCTGTTTAGGGAATAAGTCGGATGCCTCCTGGTTCGCAACAGATGTGTCCGAAAGGGATTGAAATTCACTCCTTCTGCGGGAGGCAGCTACAGCCAGGAGAAACACTAGTTAAAGGGTCATGTGGTACAATGAAGCCTGGCCCAGGGGCTCAAAGAGGGGGCTTCATTAATTACTGTAAGACTTGTTTGAGGTCCCAAGAAGGTATAAGATTTCTTATTGGGGGACGCTCAACAAACATTCCTTTGAGGAGATTGGTCACCACTTTGTTGTTCGAGATTACAGAACCATCTTTAAATCCATTGTGGATAGCAGAAAGGGGACAATGGTAGTTCTTGACTGTTGCTACGGTCAGACCCCGATTATAAAGGTACAGCAAAAATCAGCCGATTGCTGTCCACACCATTTGAAATAATGCCGAAGTCTCGAGTCGTAAATTTTTCTTGTAGAGGCTCGGCGGCTGTGTGCTGCTAGAGTGGTAGTGGCTTGAGAAAGGCCTGCTGCTTTGAATGATTGCTGCAAAGAGGCCAACAAGTTAGATGGAGGTCCCCTGGGGCTGGATGAAGATAAAGGGACTGTGGTTGGAATATTAAGTCTGCTCTCTCATGTAGTATACACGGAGTGCGAACTAGCAGTCAGCCTCGGAAACCAGGGTTGGCGAGGCCAGAATGGAGCTATTAACAACACTCTGCATGTCTCCTGTTTTAACTTGTTTAGGACCTTTGGAAGCAGAGATATTGGTGGGAAAGTGTATGCGAACATCCTGCTCCATTTTATTGCTAGTGCGTCCACTGCCCATGCTTTGGGGTCTGGACGTCGTATGAAAAAATACTGGGAGCTGAGCATTGATGGCTGTTGCAAAGAGGTTGGTGTGGGGTCTGTCGATATTGGTGAAGAGCAGACGGACAATCTCTCTGTTGAGTGTCCATTCTGTTAGAATTATCAAACCCCTGGACAGGGCATCCGGGATCTTCTTCTGATTTCCCGGAATGTGGGAAGCGTATAGTTGTATTTCTTCCAGGATGCACCAATGGAAGATGTCCCAAGTCAGGTAACACAGTTGGAGTGATCGGGTGCAACCCTGACGATTGATATACGACACTACGGTCGTGTTGTCTGTTTGAATTAGTACTGTGCATCCCTGTATTGTCAGCAGGAAATGAAGTAGGCCATAGAATACAGCTTGCAGATCCAGAATGTTTATGTGTCGGTTCTGAAAATTTGGTCCCCAAGTTCTGGCATGGGGAGAGAGTTGCTCCCCATCCTATATTTGATGAATCAGCTGCAATGGTTATGGGGGCCTGAGGACGGGGAAAGGTGGGGCCTGTCTATAAGTTCTGAGCAACTGACCACCAACGGAGGGGAGGAAGGAGACCTACGGTGATCGGAACTTGAAGATGGATTGGGTCCCATTTTGGTCTGTCATGGGCCAGAAGGTGGAGCTGGAGAGGGCGCATGCGGAGCCTGCAATAAGGTACAAGATCTACCATACTTGCCATCAGTCCCAACACCAAGAGCCATGCTCTTGCTGTGGCAACATTCTTTGAGAGAAACATGAGAACACAACATCGAAGATTTAGGATTCAGTTGGAGTCGCTGTGCCCTGGCACAAGTCTAAGTTTGCACCCAAAAAAACTGGATGCTTTGTTGGAGTTGGGTGTGACTTTGTTTTGTTGATAACAAAGCCGAGTTAGGATGTCTATTACTGAGACTAGCCAGTCGTCCAGATACATGAAGTTTAGGATGTTTCGTTTTCGTAAGCTTGCTGCTACTACTCGTGATATCCTTGTAAACACTCGTGAGGCTGTGGATAGACCAAATGGGAGAGCGTTGAACTCGTACGTGTCCCTTTTGTACCTGAATTGTAGGTATTTGGAATTATGCCTGTAGGTTGGGACGTGTAGGTAGGCATCCTTGAGGTCTAGTGATGCTGCCCAGAATGGAACTGGAATTGAATCTAGAGCAACTCTTACAGTTTCCATCTGGAACCGACGTGGACAGATGAATTTGTTGAGAGGTTTGAGATTTATGAATTGGTGGGACTACCAATGCTCATACTACCAATGCTCATACTCTGCCTTGGGGAACTGGTAGTATTTCATTTCCTTTGGACGAAAGGGCCTCCACATTTTTGCAACCGTGAGTTTCTTCATGCGGTCAATGCACACGATGTCCAATGGCAAATGAGGAAAGAGTGGGTCCTGAGCTGAAGCTTGGGAGCCGGAACTACGCTTGAAAGATTTACTTTCAGATTGACTTGTTTCATCCACTGTTGGTATTTTCAATACTCTGGCCATGTCTCTCTGTAACAGACGGAGTTGGGTCTCGAAATGAGACAGGTCCCCAGGGTCGGGGAAATCATTGGATTCTGAACAAGGTCTGTCCGAGGATGATTCACAGTTTGGGTCTGTTTCACTTCACTCCGAGTTTTCAGCACTGTCCTTGGTCTCGTCAGAAAACTGTGAAGACGGGTGGATTGAAATAGATGCCTGAGGAATTTCACGTTGAAGGCATATCTGAATTATCTTGAACCTTCGACATGGAAGTGTGTCCTCCTGATTCCGGTGTTTGGATATAGAGTCACTGAAAGTCTGAAAGGCTTTCATGAAAAAATCGGCAGATACCTCTTTTTTCTTTCGTAAGCAACAGGAATGTCTGTCTTAAGAGTCGCCCGATGAGGATGATGAAGATGGGTATCGGTGCATATATTTCTTTTTAGCGTGTTTCTTATCTTTCTTTGGGGTACAACTTGGGGAACGCCAGAACACTGATCAAAACCTGAGCTATATGCCATGCCGTGCGAGGACGGTAGGGTTAGAGGCAAATTGTCCGTCGGCAGAACAGTGGCCGTGGAATTACTGCCAGGACCGCGGGATTTCCCCTTTGTGTCCTTGGAAGACTGGTTTGATCCATTTGGTGGTACTATGGTCAATAAGCTAGCAGGTTCCGATGGTGTGCATGTACTATCCGTGATCTCTTTCTTTGGTTTCGGACAGACGCGAGTTGTTTTAGTTGTTTCCCCATAGCGGTGTCAGTGGGCATGCTCTTCGCTGTGGGTTCCATTTTATCGGGGGACTGTTCCCCATGTTTGCTACGCGATGCGATAGCAAGGAATACACTGTGCTCGGCTGGAGGCACCGCAAGAAAGCACTAAGAACACAGTGCGCTTTCGTTATGAATGGTGTTTTGTGACACAACCACTGCACACAGGAAAGCAATTAAAATAGAGTTGATTGCTCACAGATCAGACGTTGCCTTTTGACGTAGTCAGACGGCTGTTCTATGAGTCGAAAACCACTGTGGCAAAAACAGACGTATGTATTTCTATTAGAATAGGCTTACATACGTACATATGCCACTAGTGGTGTATGGTCGCTGAAGAGGGGATGTCCCTGTTTCTATCCGCTATTGACCAAAGACCACCGATTCAAAAAGCAGTAAATGCCCCGAGGAGAAAACTGTTTCTTACCGCCGTGGGCGGTAGTGGTAATGTGGGTCGAGCCCTTTGATAAGTACAGTTCTAATGGCGTACTGAAGTCGTATGGTCTCCGGGAGGATTTACTTTGTTCCTGTCCACTATTGACCAAGCCCAGCGTGGCAGGAACGACAATGCCCCGAGAAGAAGTCTGTCTCTTCTTGCGTCGGGCAGAACTATGCATGGTGGTCGTTTTTCTGGGGCTTTTTATATTTTGATTCCAGACAACAAATGTGTCACACTGATCTCCCAAGGCCCTTGTGGAGATCACTGTCTTCCTGTCAAAGAGGATATTTTTTGTTGTTGTGCCATCAGTTGAGTAGAGGGCTGGAAGAGAAACTATTCAAAGTATACCTACTGTGTATACCAGGGGCCATATTCATGAAACCTTAATAACTTAGCAGCCAACCAGGCCTTAGTAGGATACTAAAATGCCTAGTAGTCTACTATGGTATTAGTAGAATGCCTGTCAAGAATGAGAATTAAGTCCAAGAAGGCAACCGGAGGGGGAAAGCCACCTAAAGAGCCAAGTCTGACACAACAAAAAATGATATAGTTGCTAACTAGTGACTTACAGTTGCCCTGGATCAACATTAACTTTAGTAAGAAACTTTGAATTTAACTAACGCTAGTAATGTTTCATGAATATCAATTAGTTACCAACTAGGCTTAATAAACAACTACATGCCTTTTTAGTAACCAACTAGGCTTAGTAAGGTTTCATGAATATGCCCCCAGATCTGTAATGAAGTCACTTTTTAATGATTAACTTATGGTAACTTTGTTACAGATCTTCACTTAAAAAAGTGTTTTAATTCGACTTTTAATACGAAGTATGTGACCCTCCAGCACAAAACCAAACGTAAGTTGCACAACCATATTTGAACTTAAACCATATATAGTCAGACTCTCTACCATCGCAGCAATCCTATTATTGCGGCATAGGAATTTTCTCTTTTTTGCCACAAGCCCTTCAAGTGGCGATTTTTAACTACTACACCAGGCATTTTTTAAAAATTGTTGTAGTCTCAAACTTACCTTTGTTTTGTACTCAAAGTCAATGACATACTCTGGAAGTACAAGTTCATGATCAAAGATGAACCATTCACACTGTCTGGCAGAACATTCACACTGATGCTCGTTCTCTTCAAGACTGAAATTCTTAGGCTTGAAAACTGAGTCAGCAATTGGATAGAGCTGCTTGCTTATCCTAAGTGAAGGGGAAAACACAAATAGAAAGCATGTAACAACAGAGCAACGAAGATAACTTTCACAAGAACAATGACGACAGCAGCAGCACCACGATATTGGAAGGTTTGGGCCTCACAGTTATTGGGGTTGGTGGTTGAGCTCGAAGTATGTGACCCTCCAGCACAAAACCAAACGTAAGTTGCACAACCATATTTGAACTTAAACCATATATAGTCAGACTCTCTACCATCGCAGCAATCCTATTATCGCGGCATAGGAATTTTCTCTTTTTTGCCACAAGCCCTTCAAGTGGCGATTTTTAACTACTACACCAGGCATTTTTTTAAAAATGTTGTGTCCATAAATTAGGCTAACAAGTAGGTGAAGGGTTGCCTAACATGGAACACTGGAACATGTTCAAGGAAATTCCCAAAATTATTGTTGAGAAAACGGTTTGGCGTAGACAAAATTATTGTAAACAACAATAATCTCTTATTTAGGGGAATTTCGTTGAACTTGTTCAAGTCCCCACGTTACCCTTCCCGTAGTAGCCCAATTTACGGACACCACATTTTCTCCCCTTTTTTGGTCTTTTGGGCTAAACATCAAAATGTTATCAATTTTCACTTGATTTCCCACTTATTTTTGTTAGGGTAACTATGCCAGTAAGTAACTATGTGAATTTGAAGCTCATCAATACCCACGTTTGGCGAGACTAGTTGATGATATCTGAGGAAAAGGTAAATGCGCGTAACTTTAGGGTAAAATAGTAGCAATTTTGGTTCTTTACTATGTCCTCCTAATTATTCAGTCACTTATATGTTTTACAAAATGTTATTGAAGTAAGAATATGCAAGTAGAATCACCAAAATACACTTTTCAAAAAAATAAAAAAATTAAAATATACCCAAATATGGGAATAAATATATTACACGGCAGGGAGAAACGATTTATGCAAATTAGGCACCCTTCCCAAAAGAATTTCAGGTGTCACCCCTTCTAAATATCTTCTCTAGGGCTATAAGAATAGCTATAAGAATCTATCTGCCAAGTTTGGTGCTTTGGACCAGTCGGTCACGATTCCGACCATATGCCACCTGACTATCAGGGGATGTTTTGGTCAAACATTAACTATGAATACAAAAGTTGAGATCATCATATAAAAAACACTTCCCACCTACTGCGATAATAGGGAGTCCACATCCATTTGCATACTCTGCGCATGTCTATTTTCACAGGCATCGTACACGGAATAAATCACACCACCGTCGACAGGACAATTCGGGAATGTTAGTGGGCAATGTCTATTTCAAACACTGTGTAAGTACCGGTAGTGTAATATGTCTTTACAAAGTATGACGTCTTCACTGACTGACAGGCCATATAATCATCAAAGTTTCTAATAATAAATATACATGTATATTGTTTCAATATGTCCAGAGGAAATTAAGAGACTGAAATATTTACATGGGCCTAGGTTAAATGTACAATCATGAATTTATCTCTGGATGTGCTACATATTATGCAGCAATTAGGCATCCTTGATCGCTCATATAGGTGTCCTTGATTTTTATACAACGGTGGTCAAGAGTCTTTTCCTTCCCATTTCTAAAATGTTGACATTATGTTAAGGAACACCTGTCTTAAGATATGTGTGGTAGAAATCTGCAGCTATACCGGATTCGCATTCTCATGCGACATAAAAATATTTAAAAGTTATGACAAGGCTACCTTTGCAGAGGCATCCGATCAGGAGGAAAACACCTCCTAAATATTATATGCGAGTAAGACTTCCGTCTGGCTTTCTGGACACCTCAACGTCAAGAAATGAGATGTTGCCATTTCTTTCCTGTTCCATGGTGAACTGGATGCTGCTGTGAAGCTCGTTGAGGTGTTCCAAGAAGAGCTGGAGGTTGTCTTGCCCGTGTTGCCAGATGACAAAGGTGTCGTCCACCTACCGGAGCCAAACCTTGGGTTGGTGATCTGCTGTTGCGATGGCGGTCTGTTTAGATTCATCCATGAACAAGTCAGCCAGAACCGGGGACATAGGAGATCCCATGGAGGTTCCAGCCGACTGTTCAAAGAATTTGTCCCGCAATCTGAAGCTATATGAGTTGACACATGTGAGAAGCAGATCTTGAAGCTGGTCAGGGGTGAGGTCGGTGCGGTCTTGGAGAGTGGTGTCTGCTTGAAGTCTGTCCTTGGCGATGGTGCAGGCGTCTGAGGTGGGAATGCTGGTGAAGAGGGAGACGACATCAAAGCTGACCATAATGTCGTCCGGCTGGAGGGTGAGGTCTTGGATGAATGCTGCAAACTGGTCGGAGTTCTTGATGTGGTGTTCGGTGTTTCCTACCAAGGGGTGGAGGATCTTTGCAAGATGCCTGGCTGTGTTGTATGTAGGACCCCCTCTGGAAACTACAATTGGACGCAGGGGGATATCCTTCTTGTGGATCTTTGGCTGTCCAAAGAACCTGGGGCACTTGAAGCTAGATGGTCGTAGCTGTCTGTACAGAGGCTGTGGGATGTTGCCAGAATGCTGAAGAGAAAGGAGCTTGCTTTGCAGTCTCCTCTCGATGGATGGCGTGGGGTCCTTCCGCAGTTCACGGTAGCAAGGTGAGTAGAGTATGACCTCAACCTTGCAGTCATACTCAGCCTTGTCCATGTGGATAGTGGCGTTCCCCTTATCAGCTCGAAGGATGCGGACGGACTTGTCTTGGCGAAGTGTTGCGATGGCTGACCGGTCTTGACTGGAGATGTTGGGCTTTGCTGACTTGTGTTTGCAGAGGGCTTCGTTGATCTGCAGGCAGATCTCATCGGCCGCAGATTTGTCGAGGTGGCGGAGGGTTGGTTCTGTGCCTACCGCAAGCCCACCCACACAGACAGATACCTGCACAGCAACTCTTTCCACCACCCAAGAATGAAGTCCTCCGTCAACCAAGCCCTCGTCCGCAGAGCGTACAACATCTGCGACGATGAACACCTACCTCAAGAACTCCATCACATCACCACAGCACTGCAGCGCAACAGATACCAGCCCAGCCAAGTTAAGTTGCAAGACCCAAGAACCATTCCCGGCCGTAGGGTCTCCTATACCCCAAGCCAACTAGTTAGGGCCCCTAGTTCTATCACTCTCCCCTACTTAGGCACCACTTCTCATCACATCCAGCACATCCTCCAAAAGCATGGAATTCCAGTCTTCCACACATCACCTCTAAAGATGCAGAACCTGCTGACTTCACACAAGGATCGCTGTGACCCAGAATGCAGACCTGGGGTGTACAAGATTCCATGTCAATGTGGCAAAGTGTATATCGGCGAGACTGGCAGGGACCTCCCCACCAGACTCAAGGAACACAAAGCCCATGGCAGGAAGGGAGACTTCGAGAAATCTTCCATCGTCAAACACTCCCACACTGAGGACCACCCGATCAACTGTGCAGTGTCAAGTTTGAGGTTGTTTGGACGAGCGGTTCTCGAAAAAGCTGCAAAAAAGTAATATTTTCTGAGGCAAACGTGCCAGTATTATAGCCTAGCCCACCACGCGCTGCCGTCATTTTCAATATTGTTTACGTCATGTTTAAGCTAAAGCGCGCGTGCTTAATATGACGCAAACAATCTTGAACAGAGTTTTCCACAACGCGACATTGCGGTCTAGTATGATACCCCGTAATTGAGTCTCATATATTGTTTAAGGACACGCTCGGGGATACACGGTTCCAGATTTCGGACCCGAGGGGAAATCTCGGGCCCAATATGCAGCAAAAGTAAAATGTAAAACAGTATTGGACCCCGAGATTGAAAAAAAATTTATATTCAAACACAGTTTTTTGATCACTTGCTGGGTTTGCTCTTACGAAAACGCATGATTCAGAGAGATCACAACCTGATTATTTATACAAACCATTTTTTAAGTTTGGCAAAACTCATCTTCACAGTCAAATTTGTCATGAAAATTATCCTTTCCTCAATGACCACCGAAACGTAGCGTCTGTATTTGAGTTTAAATTTTAAGCTTATACGCATTTCTTTGGTTTTGGGGGTTTATTACATTCACAGATATTCTTATGAACAAACTCATGAAAATTGAAAAGTCCTTAAAAGTCAATTATTATCGATAATTTTAGGTTTTAGATCGTCGCTCTGTCGCAGGTCACCCCTCATGAATTATGCATTTTAATTGACCTGGATGTAAAACTGGCACTTGCGCACAACTTCATGTCGCTTTACACACTGGCCGAAACAGCGGTAGCAGCTGCACTAGTATCATGTACAGCTGGTAGCAAGCGTCAAAGACAGCTTTCACCGTACTTGTTACCGGTCGGTACCTTTTCGTGGGACGTGGATTTGGTTTTTTTGGCAAAATCAACGTATAAGCCGAGGCTTATATTCCGAAAATCACGGTAGGTTATATTTGTTGCTCGTGGTCTAATTAGTAAACATACCGAAATTCGTGGAAAAAGGACAAGGGAATATTGGGTTAGGGCACATTTAAGATTGAAAAATTTTGTGCACAAGTCTACGGGGATGTCTCCCATATTAGGCCAAAAAAAAAAGTCTCCGGTTTCTGGTATGGAGCTTGCCCAAAAAGTGGTGCGGCTACGCGGCTTTTTTTTTTTTTTTACCCGACTTTTTTGCTTCAAATGTCGGCTGATGACTGCAAATGGTGCCCGACTAAACTTAGTGCAAATATATGGGAGTCCAGAGAGGCCACATAAAGCTTATTCTCGACCATAACCCAATCTAAAAACACGTTAAAATTGTGCAGCAGCAGGATTCCAGTCAAACCAGTGAGTTTAGCGGTTTTGAGACATCATCTTTCATTGAAAAAAAAACTTTTTCATTTTGCCGACGCGCGCGCATACCAGAAACCGGAGACTTTTTTTTTGGGCCTTACTCTGGATTGGACATTTGGGAGACATCCCCATAGACTTGTGCACAAAATTTTTTAAACTTAAGTGTGCCCTAACCCAATATTCCTTTTTCCACGAATTTTGGTATGCTTACTAATTAGACCACGAGCAACAAATATAAGCTAATTGCGACAATCAAATTGTGCCTCTAAAGGGGGGCTGTGACATTAGGGAGACATGAAAATGTCTCCCTAATGACCGATGTCTCCCATCGTGCAAAGAAATTACGACAACGTGTCTCCTTAGTGGTACCTTTACACGTCTAATTATTATTATTGTTATCATTTCTTTATGGATAAGAAAAATAAAAAAATTATGTTCCTTTGTTTAAGTCATTACTCACTTCACGTTGACATCCAAGGCTGGAAGACTTTTTCCAAGGTACACCTTACACACTACCAACTGACCAAATCTGAATGGGCAAGGGTCAGTGCACGTCTCCTTCTTTGCCTTGCCGATGGCTGATTCTATCCTCGCTTTATCACACAAGCTCACACTATTAGACAGATGAACTGCTCCATGGAGACCGAGTTGCTGAATTAACCCAAATAACAAAAAAACAAAACAAAAAACATTCAAATTATTAATGAAAAGTAGCTCAGATAATAATTAATACTAATAATTAAAAATGTATAATGCCCCTTTTGCATATAAATTATCAAAAGCGCATATATTCTCCTTTTATTAACACATGTGCTCCAATAATCATAAACTTTGACTTGTACAGTAAAACTATCCTCTTGAAGCAAAAAAATGAAATTACATAAAATTCATTTTGCATCTATTTTTCACTATTAATTTATCCCAACGGTGACTGAATTATTGACTAATTTGTTATCTGATTAGCAATTTAAAAATACTGCAAGTAAAACTTGTGCAATCCCCTGGCATGCTGGCAGTATTTATACAGTCAGTTAGTGTACTTAACTGAAATCATCGATGACCTCATTTGACCCTGGATGACCTTTGACCTCAAATGTCTCATGTTACCTGAAGTCACCCTACCCAAAGATTATTGTCACCAAGTTTGGTTGAGATTGAAGTGAGCATGACTTTTCATATGACAGCACTAGATAGTTAAAGGGAAGATACAACATTTGCAAACATCACAAAACGAAACGAGAGATCTACATGTATGTCTGTTTGCAACAGAACATAGGGCTTTTCCGCATTATGCTTTTTTATCAATAAAACGTCCCTAATTATGCATGTACAACGCTTCAATCGAATCGTACCTACAGTTATAAAATTTGCACCTTCAAGACCACATCACAAGACCAGTGATCACTTGCCTCCAGAATACGCTCGAATAACGCATGACGTTACTGGTCAGATTTTGAAAAGCCCACCCTTTCCACAGAATAACATCGTTGAAAACAAGTTCACATCTTTTACCAATTGCAAATAACAAGGCAATTTCAGCTTCAACAGGAAAGAAGGGTCACGCGATTTTGCACGTTATATCAAAAATTAAGACCATGAATTATTCTATCAATTCCCGTAAACAAACAAAATCAGATCTCTCTCTGTTGATTTTAGATTGATTTTACGTGATGACGTAATCATGATGTAACTTGGCAGTGCTCATTATTTTTTGTGGTTTTAGTCTGTACCAAGTTTGAAGCCAGTCACAGGAATTAAAGTGTTACATTTTTTAAGCAGAATAAAACTGAAAATATTTTTAAAATCTTAAAAAATCTACAGATAACGTCATCGTGACGTCATTTCTGATTTGGCGCACTGGTAGTATTATCTAACCACCCACTAAGTTTCATGACGATCGGACGTTCCCTTCATGTGTTTTAAAAAATCGCATAGTTAGTGATGTCAAAATGAAGTCACACAATTTTCACAATTTTGTGAATATACCTGTTACCAAACAAAAATAATACACAAAGAATATTGAATTTGGCATATTGCGTTCGTAAGATATGGCTTAAAGGTCCAAAATGTCCAAAATGGATATAAAATTACATGATGACGTCATGATAGTGTCACCTCAATTTTTACATATAACACATCCCGGCCTACCTACATACCGAGTTTTAACCCTATCGGACTTAATACAGTTCTTTAGATATAGGGTCTTAAAGTTTGCACATTTAAGATGGCGTCAAATGCCCTGTGATGACGTAATCATGGTGTCACTTGGAAGTGCATATTATTTAATTGTAGTTTTAGTCTGTACCAAGTTTGAAGCCGATCATACCAATGAAAGTATTAAATTTTGTAAGCAGAATGAATTTGTCAATATTTAAAAAATCATTAAAATATACCGATGACGTCATCGTGACGTCATTTCAGATTTTGAGTACTATAGTAGTACTATTATCTACCCACCCACCAAGTTTCATGACGATCAGACATTCCCTTATATGTGTTTTAAAAAATTGCATTTTTGATGACATCATAATGACGTCACACAATTTTCACTATTTTGACAATATACTTATTACCTAACAAACGTAATACCAAAAGAATTTTTAATTTAACATATTGCATTCGTGAGATATGGCTTAAAGGTCCAAAAATCAAAAAAATCATATAAAATCACACGATGACGTCATTGACATCACCTTAATATTTAATATTTTTTTATTATCATAACGTCACTTTAATTTCCATCTATAACACGTCCCGGTCTACTCCCGGTCTACTCAAAGTTTCAACTCAATCGGATCGACAGTTCTGTAGATATAGGACTTTATTATTATTATTATTTATTCGACCATCACAAAAACAAAACAAAACAAAACAAAAATTGAGTAAAACGTGCATAAAACAACAACCAACAAGTACAGTAAGACGGTAGCGGGGACCTGGGACGAAAATCCGAATATGACAAGACAAATGACAGTTATGTGGGTCAGGGACCGCAAAAGTAAAATGAACTACTATTACCCGTGGGTATGCAGCCCCGCACATAACGTTGAAAAGACAGATTACAAACACAGAAAACAACGGCCCCCGCAGGGGTGATCAAAATGACAGCAAAAAGAAAAGAGCAATGGGTTGACTTAAGTTACCGATAAGAATGCCTGCTTGAGGGCCCTAAGGAATCGAGGAAGGGAGTCGACAACAGCTGAGTCTTTGACATGAGGCGGTAAAGAATTCCATATTCTAGGGAAACTGCGGGTGGGGGAATGAAACAAAGCTTGTGTGCGTGAATGAAGATGGCGGAATGTAAGCAAATCTGGGTGGCGTGGGTTGATTAGGATGTTGTCACTGATGGTGTCATCGTCATCATTCATGTGCATTGTAATATGCACATGAATGATGACGTCACGTGACCCATGGTGATGTCATGATGACGTCACTCTTCGGGACACATCTATGCTATAAGGACTAAGCCTATGCTGACTTTGAATGTATGACAAAGATGAAAGGCAAAAGTGAGGGGTGGAAAAGACATGTACAATGTCTATTGGATTTGCCAGGGAATAAAAAGAAGAAGAAAGAAAAAAATGAGAACAAAAAGAAAGGCTTTTCCGCTACTATGCGGAAAAGCCAACGATCAAATTATCCTTAATACCTTACTGGATTGTTAGGGAATGACAGTCTAAAGCATCCTGTAAAATCATGGCTCCTGCTGTGCTGTCATTTTCAAGAAAAAATTGTATTTTTCTAACACTGGTTGGCCACCCTACTAAAACTTATCATCCGTAAACCATTTACCTTAAACTCACCATGGTTTATACCTTGACTTTTGACACCAAAACCAACCTCCACTTGCTTACTCCTACCGAAGTTACAATCCAAAACAACATTTCTAACTCAAGTTATCATCCAGAAACTAAGCTGCCTGAGCTGAACGACGGACGAACAAATGCTGCAGGCGACGATTATACCCCTCCAGCCTCTCGGCTGAGGGCTGAGGGGTAAAAAAATGACAGATCTGGACATTACAGGTAGGCCCGGATTAAGTGTTTTATAGGCCCTAGTTATCACTCCACCCAAGGCATCACCGGCACCAAATTCACGTTGATGCTATTAAAGTACAAAACACTGTAAAAATCAAGCCAGGCCAAACTGGTATAGTCTTACCTCTAAAAGCCTGTCGGCACCAAGGGAGTCAATTGCTTCTGAAACGTCTGGGGGGTGGGGGTACATACATGTGTATTGTGATCAGAACTAAAGGGAGTGTGAAGCCGAAATGGCCTGGGGTTTGGGGCCCACTTGGTCCTCTCGAGTGGTGTGATCTGAGGCAATTTTTGACCACTTTAACCAATTTTTTTTGGTGAAATATCGTCATGTAAACATCATTTTTGAGTTTGGAGTCATTTAATCAGCTAGTCTGAGCTGTAGAATCAAAGTTAATGTAGTCCGCATTTTTTATTGGGGGACGAAAACAGATGGTACCAGCCCCCCCCCCCCCCCAAATAAAAATGTCCTTGCTACGCCCCTGGCTTCAGAATCAAAATGACAGACTTTTATACATAGGGCCTACTATGCCTACATGCTGTATGGCGTCAGTTGGTGAAATAGAAAATTCTGAGAGAGACCCTAAAACTTTACAAAAGGTTTTCTCTGCAGGTGGATGTGTGTGGGTAGGCCTATATACGGCACACTGTGGTATTTTCATTGGCCCCGAATTTTGTGTAGGCCCCAATTTTGTTTTAGGCCCCAGGCACAGTACCTACTGTGCCTATTAGATAATTCAGGCCCGATTACAAGAGCACATTTGTTGAAGTAACCCTCCCTCCCTGGATTGAAATTCAGCTGTGCTATCACATCAGTCAACATCAAACAAAGGTGACTGTTTTTTTTTTTTACAGTTAAGAATTCCATTGTTACTTTAATATAGCCAGGATTTGACAGGAGGTGGTTGATAACCCAGCTGTACCTCTAAGTTTCCTCTTTTATTTGCTAATGGAATTTGACTAGTCAGAGTGTTTACGCAAATGTGATCTGACTGTTTACTAGCCTGCATACAAATGCATGGCAGGGGAAGAGGAAGGGATTCTTGACTGTCTGTGACTGATCAAACAATAGTGGCACGACTTAATTTTATCAACAGCATCAGTGAATTTTGTCTCAGTCTTCAGGGATTCCTGGAAAATTCATGTAAAAAAGTTTTTGTTGATAACTCTTTAATCAAATAATTTTAATCAAACAACTTAATTTCATCACAATTAAAATACTTCAAAAGAGAAATTCTTATTCCAATTTGCACAAACTTTTTTAAGGATAAATACTCTAAAAAGCAATGAGAATTAACATTAGGCATAAAGGCCATTTAATTTCTAATAAAATAAATATAATGATACTAATAATTAGAAAAGAGCATCCCATACATTTCCTTGGTTGGTAGAGTTTGAGAGGATTAAAATCCAAACAAGCTGAAGGAGTGCAATGCGAGAAGGAAAAACACACACAAAAGGACGCTTGTGACATGTCAGCCAGAGTGACAGGTTCCCCTCAAACCTTTTTACTGTATACTGTTTACTGAGCTGCCCAGACGCCCGCCCGGACGGACACCATAGGCAATGATGATACCCATCAAGCCTCTCAGCTGAGGGGTATAAACTCCATAC